CAGCGCTTCGGGGGGCGAGAAAGGCCGGCAGCAGAGGTGCAGCCCCTCCGCGCAGGAACCCGACCGCTTCTCAGCGGCACTGCTGCTCGCCCTGCTTAGAAAGTCACGGAGGAACAGAAAAGAAGCACGGGCCAGGTTTGCTATAAGTTTTATTTACACAGGAAGTGTAACTAGTGGTCTTAAAGGAAGGCTTGATTCTTCTATTTACAGTTATATACAGATTTATAGTTGAAAAGTAAGAAAACTGTACAAGATAACACAAAAATATAAGACAAATAGGATCCAATTAAAGTAGTGAATACATAAGTTAAGAAAAATCTGACATTTACATTTCAAATTGTAACGTTATGAGAAGCATATATGTAGTTTTTAAACCAGATAGCAATGTAAGTTACACCACACTAAATCTTTACCCCAATGATGTAGACTCTGCTTTTAAACACCAGACAACTGGAAGCCTCCTTCACTTAAAAATACATATGGTAATTCTGACTTGATTTCCACAGAGGGACCAGTTGAAAAAACAACCCACATAGAAGGAACTTATTTACATTAAATATTAGCAAAAATGGACCAAGAAAGTGCAAGTGTTCCTCACCTGCAGTGCTATCCATTTTAAATTTCCATCCCCTACAATCACAAGTTGTTGGACAGCATCTTTGAGAACAGGAAATGTTGGAAAATATCTGCCATGACACATACAATATGACTATGTCTCACAGTTAAAAGATGTTAAAGAATTAAGGATCAGTAAACCAGATGCTTTTTGGATTTCAGTATTGCACACTAGTAAAAATAGTTTCAAAAACAATTCTGTGTCTGCATTATTCCAAAGTGTTAAAAGTGACTGCTACTTTGACAACACAAAGTCTGCAGATAGCTTTGTCAGTTTCTAGTGTCCACCGTTACATACAAGTATTTCTTAGCTGGAAACGGTTCAACAAAATAAAACTTCTGGTGGCAAAACCCTTTCACAAAATACCCACTCCATTTTTAATAAGCTGCACAACCAATACACCAAAACAAATGCTTAACACCACTTGCTTTGAAAGCCATACACTCTGAAAATAACAGCCCTGATCTTACCACTGTTTAAAATTCAGATGATTTTTGCTCCAACTGGTTTGGGCACAACACTTCGACAGTTCCTGAGTTAATTACGTTTGCCCACACTGAAGAATGATACTGCAACTTTAAAAAAAAAAAAAGTAAATAAGACAATACCCCTTCCTAAATTTTAACCCTCTTACACATAAATATACCAGCTACCTTATTTGGTCCTCAATACTTTCAAATGGTTAATTTTGGAGGTAATATTTGTACCAAAGCATTTGGTTTGGATAGCAGTTTTGGGGCCTTAAGATTTAGCATTTCCCTCATCCCCTCCCAAAAGTGCCATTGTGGTATTTGTAAAAAAAGTTATGCCTCAAAAATTTTTTTGAAGTACCAACAGAAGTTACTAAAAATGTTTATTGCATTGAGCTGATTCTTTTAAAGTATTAAATATGAACTCGCCCACTTCTCAGTTTCATAGGTTTTAGTATTCAATGTGAAAAGAAACCTTCCCACAGCAAAAGCTAATACTGGCAAAAGGGTGAAGATTTCATCAGTTCATTACTCCACTGAGAGCTGCATCATTTTTATGTCTCATTTTCACATTTTCTATAGTGCTTTTCCACATAGAAGTGATGTGAAAACTCCTTTGTCCTTAAAGTGGTTTTCCACATTTTCAGTTGACCTCAACATTATGACAACTAGCTTTTCAGTGCTGGGCTATGGTTCTTGTCCCCTTCTTTGTTGTCCTTCATTAGTGAGGCAAACACCTGGAAAAAGTAAATAATTTAATGAATATTTTAGAAGTCTTAATAAAAAAAAACAACATTAACCACCACAGGACTAGCATGGAGATTAATTTCTAGAATGACAAACTCGAAAGGAAGTGCCCATTGCTCAGAAGTCAGACATGCAGTATGAAGTAGTCATTAACTGCCCCATACACGGATGTGCTGACATGTCTCTTGATACATCTATCCAAGAAACTCACCTGTGCCCATTTTTTGTTACTATTCTGCATCTGAATAGCTGCAATACAACTAAAAAGCTTTTCTGATGTAATGTCCTCTGGAAGTTTTGTTAGAAACTGTGCTATATGAATGAAGTCCATCTGCAGGAGAATATCTTCATATAACCGAAGGATTCCTAATCCTGTCCTAAACAAAAACTCTTCTCCATCTCTACAGAAAACATCCCAGACACGACAGGCCAGATCAAGTGGTAATGACTTGCTGTAGAGTGTAAAAATCCTACAACAGAGAAAAAAAGGAACAATTATTACTTTAACCTATTTCAGAAAGATTAAAATAAAACCTCCTTTGAGTGAGCAGATTGTTTCATATGTTCTTATTGTTCCATATTTCAAAGATCCACAAGTCTCCTGTTCTTGAAGTCAGAACTCCTACTCTGAAATCCATCTCTTTTCATGCTACAGGAAATCCATTTGAAAGCCACCTCCTTTAGGAAGCTCTGGCTGGAGAAGTTAAACACGTCTTTACACTCAAAGAGGGTATAATACACAAATAAGAACTGAAGCAACAAAGATCATAACTTAACCCTTCTCATTATTTAAGCCATACAGTTTAACAGCTCTGTTCATAATTTCTTTTCTAAACAAAACCTAAAGAATTCAGTCACTACATTGCTGTGACACATTTCCAATTTCTATTCATTTTAAAAATGGCCAAAATCTAAAGACAGTCACTGTTCTATTCTTACTGGGAAGATTCCAATTGCATTTCTTATTGCAAAGCTTATTTTTAAAAAGCATCTGTTATACATGTGCAGAGAGTGCAATTTGCTGCATGCACCACACTGAAGAGCACCTCTCATAAATTTGTAGTGGTTCCTTTGATACAAAGCACAGTGTTCTGTTCCCCCAGTATTCCTATCGGGAGGTGGTTCAGGAACCTCAGAACACTCCTTACCACAGACTATCAAAATCTTTTCTACTCTCCCTTTATAAGGGGAACTCTGTCCCAAGGCCATCTTTGGAACATATGCAGGAATAACAATCCTCATTTCTCACAGGTAACTGGGAGCAGAATATTCTAGTACTTTGTACAAGCAGTACTCTTTCTGGAACCTCCATACCTCACTCCATCTGCCTAAACTCCCAAGACCTCAGCACACTCCTGACTCCGTGCTGCTACTGTATAACATGCTCCTGCTGAGATTTACTGCTTACTGCTAAGCTGATCTTATACCTTATAGCCTAAGTTCCCAAGTACTGAGATATATGGGTTTATATTATTTAATTCTAACCAATTCAATTTACTTTATTAGAAACTTCTAACCCATATAACAATCACATATGAAGCACATCCTTATACACATGCACACATATGAATAGACATCTGTATTTGGCAGCACTACACACACTTCAAGGATGCTTGCATCACTACCTTCCATTACAGGCACATAACACAGTTTGGTACTCTGCTTTAGAACATTCATTACTTCAAAATGTTCACTGCATTTCCAGGTAGATCCTGGTTTGGGAAGGGATACAAGTTTCATCGTCCTGCTTTAAAGTCTATATTCCTATATTCACACTTTCTTCAGCAGCTGATTATGTTCATTTCATCAAGTCACTTACAATCAATCATAAGACAACTATGTAGTGTGTAGTAGCCTCCCCTACCCTACCTATGCTACACATGGCTAAATCTTACCTGCAGAAACAAGAAAATGAGACAGAACTCCTGTGAGAATCCTGTCTCATTTTCTGTATAAATAGAAGTCACTCCTAATCCCAGTTCAGAAAGTTTGAATTCTGCCAGAGAAACCACGGTGACACAAAACAGTTTGCCCCAAATTCACAAGACCTAGAAAGCTGAGGTACACAAACACCTACTGAATGCTTTTATCTCAGGCTGTGTTTCTATTGCTGAAAGTGTTACAACAATTCTAAGGTTAGGTTTACTATATGCTCTGAACTCACCAGTCTATCAAATATATGTCTGGAGTAAGACTGTACGATTTGAAATGAAGAAACAGTCTGGGAAGATTTTCTTCAAAAAATACTTCAAAGGCTGCAAAATATTTCAGCATCTGTAGAAATAGTAAAGCACCTCATAAGCAGTCATCAAAACAAATTTCAGCTGTAAACTAACACAAACCCCACCAAGAACTGAAGACGTCGACATAGCTCCATGTGACTTCTTCAGATAAGAACAACAATTAAGTGTTTCTGGAGCAAAAATCAAGACAGCAGGATGTGTCCTATGGATTAGTATCTGGTATTCCAAATTTTGTAACCACGGGTTAAAGCTGCTTATTATTCAGTAGGCCAAAAGGAAGTCATCAATAAATCAACTATGCTTCAAGTCAAAAGAATGTTAAAGTTCAAAATCAGAAAATTCTGTGCATACCATGCCGTGATCCACACGGAAAAAGGCCAGCTGGCATGGCTTGTTTAGAAGGTTAGCAAAGGCAATGAAAGCATCTGCCTCTTCTAGATTGAGAATGAGCACAGCAGCAATGAAGGACATCCCTTGTACCTTCAAGTGGGAAAAACATGGGGCAAATACAAGTAAGTAGGTTCAGTACATCGTACATCTTTGGCAATGCAAATATTTACAGTCTGCAATATACCACAAACCACTGCATAACATTTCCAGATGAACAGAAAGAACATAAATAATTTTTATGCATGCAGTCCATCTGATTTCAGCAAGAAATAGTGTTTCTTCAGACACTAGTTTTACATGCTTGATGGAAGTTGTGGGAGATTTCATGACTACAAGTCCTCCAGACTTGGAATGCAAGAAAGTTAAAACTACTCAGGCCCAACACAGAGTTTATAAAAGACTAAACTTGGCCTTAATTGTTAAGCTATGGGAAAAGTAGTCATGGAGGAAAAAAATAAAAACACACATGGAACAGTTTAAACCCAGATAGTTGTTGGAATTGAGACAAAAATTCTGTTTCGGAAGAGTTAATACATATCTTTCCACTTGCCAAACATTATTTGTTCACATACATAAAATTACTTCTAAGTGGCTAGCTACAATGCAAGTTTACATTTTCCCATGATGCTTCTCTCAAAACCACTTTAGCTTGCAATGAAAGTGAAGACCATTATTCCTGTAGCTAACTGATTATCTGAATACTCATTATACTAGAAATAATTTTACCCATTTCAACTGCAGAGATGATTATTCCACTGTTTCTAGGCATTGATGCTGCCTGCTCCTCATTTAATAAAATGCACTCAGCATTTTAACCAATAAGGGAAAAAGAGTGCTAATATGCATGGAAAAGAGTCCAGCAGCTTTCCCTTTTTGTGGGACAGATGGATGTGGAAATATGGTTACATTGAATTTACTATCATATTAACAGTAAAATCTATGACCAGAAATATCCAGCCTAGATGCATTCGTAATGAAACGGAGAAGACCTATCCATGACAAATTAGTTATTTGACTTTTAAAACTCCACCTGGAGAACAAGCAGTCTCAGAACCTGCATAGTTTGTAATCTCACTCAAAATGTATGGGAAGGTGTCCAGAAAGGAGGTCACAAATGACAGAATTCAGGGCTAAAAACATTTGAAGATGAAAAAACTAGGTATTGATGCAGACATCCATCCTAAGCATGTCTGATATGGAGAGGAAAACACACCCTGTGCTAAACAATGTTTTTTATCCCAGAAAAATTAGAGCTTGTGAAATGTGCTCCAACTAGCTCCAGGAACAAAGAAAAAAAAAAAATACAAAAAAAGCACCTTTTTGATATTTAACTGATTGTCTAAGATGACACCATTCAGAGAAATGTTCTGTTTAGTTGGTTGGCTTGTGGGTTTTTTTGCTGGTTTCATGGGTTCAGGTTTTTTATGGGTTTTTGGTTGGTTAGTTGTTTTTGTTTGTTTTGTTGTTTTGGTTTTTATTTTTTCAACATGGTAATGTTTCCTGCAAGCAATCTTACCTTTGCTGAACTCAGGCAGAGCAATTAATCTTTGACAACGAGATACCAATAGGAAGTTTCTGGATTTTCGGAGGTGCAGTAGTGAAGCAGAGACTAACACTATGGAAATGGTAGCACTGGGAGCAACACTAGGGCAAAGAGGCTAATTGCTCACTGCTCAGTGGGAGTCTGCTAGTGAGTGGTGTGGGTTCCCCCCGCCCCGTAGATACTCTGGGCCTGTCAGAACTATGTCTTGTGAACACTTCTGTTTACCATGTATTTTCCATGCAAGCCAGATAGTACACTCACCCTTGACATTCAGTACATTTTCAGCTGTTTAATTATCTCTAAGAATTACTATCATTGTTAATGGCTATAAAATAAGTGCCAAAATTGAATTACTTTAAGCGATAGTAGCATAAAGTTTAGATAACCTACTCAATTAATACACTTTAATACATGACATCTTATGCTTATTTGCCATGCTATGAACATTTTAGAGCAAATACTTACATATCCCACATCTGGTCTGTAACATGTATATGCTCCTAAAACACTATGCAGTAGATCATGATAAGGACCACCCTAATACAAGGGAAGGCAGAAGAGGGAAAACAAAACAAAAAGGTTTCTTGAAAATTATTTTATAAATATAGGAAGATAATAAGCCAGTATTTTAGGATGCAAGTGAGCCAGCGCTTTGCTTGCATCTAGAATAATACCATTTTAACTCTAAACATTACATATAAGCTTTTGAGATGTTAAAGGAAAATAAACTAATAATGCTATAAAATAATTTAGTAGAAATCAGTACATAATGGAAAATGAGGATATAGGATACACATCCAGGGTTAGTTTTTCATTTTCAGAGAGAGTGGACAATTTAATTCTTAGTAACAGAAGTTAATGAATTACACCAGCGCATGCTGTTGTAGGTACTGTGTGTATATATCCATCATAAAGCCTAAAAACATGTACTAGAACTCATCAAGATTTCTGTAGAAAAAGTAATAATATTCTCATTTTTACAAGTAGTTTCATAAACGTTAATAGGGAATCACATGTCATTTTTTTCCTGGAGAAAAAGCCTTATAGTCCATCACTAAGTGTCCCTACTTTATTCCCATTAAAAAGAGATGACTACTTGCTATTATAAGTAGGAAATAACTGATTTTACTTCCGTTTTATACAAATAACTTATAAAAACTACTCTGCTTTAAGCCAGCTAAGTTTTTTTTCCTTGTTTAACTATGCAGAAGTTTAAAGTTATCGTAGCTAAAGTCACAGAGATCTCACCTTCTGGAAAATATACAGGGATGGAAATGTGCGTGATATATCCAGCTTAATCAGTTCCAGACTGGCCTCACGGTCAGCAACAGATGCACCTGTTTCTGCAAGCAAAACCAACACCTGATAAAACTGACAGATGTATTCTATAGACTGCAGAATAAAGCTGCCATAGGCACATAGAGTTTTAGGATCTAAAGAAAAAAATTGTTAACTAGTTCTAATTCTTGGAGTGCACTTCTACAGTACTATGCATCACAAGGTAAAACATGTGCACTGGTACCTGGCATATACCATTACCTCCAAAAAGCAAGGAAATCATCAGTAATTGCTACCCAAATGCTCATCCTTTCTCAAGTCACACACCTTCACATCCTTCAGACTTAAAACCAACAGGTTAACTTTTTCTTCTGTATAACAGTGTATCTGGGCCTGAATTCAGTAGAATTTGAACTTTGCCCAGGCCAGTCCTCAAAATCATGTTTTCATTCTTATATTCTACTGTGACTCCAGTTACTGAGTCTATGCAAGAGCACAGAGTGGGAGCACTACTCTTGATCTAAATGTGATCCAGTGGGATCACACTTTTCAAAGTTTACATTCATTATTAGCTCATTTGATGGCTCATTTCAACCAGCAGCATTGAAATATACTATGTACACTAGGGGAAAAAATATTAATTACATCATTATCACAAAAAGTCAACATTTCTTCAACCTGCAAAGTCAAGCATATTACTTTCAAAGTCATGAATTTCTCACATCCCACTTCGATAAAAGGTAACTAGCAATATACAGAGAAACTTCATTGAAGTTTCCAAAATTGACCACACAGTTATCTGCACAAGTTACATTAATTCTGAGCTCTTATAGCTCAGATTTCACTCAGACTTTCTTGCATCCATAAGATTGGCATTCTTCAAACTGCAGGAGAGAAGACAGAATTCACTCAAGAACCTCCAGAAGAAATTCAGCTGGCCCTTGAGTTATCTCTGTCCTATCCCCTACATATGGACATGATGCATATACTAGGGGTAGCTAGGAGAAAAATACGTGGCACTTGGAAAAAGGCTTTTTTAGTGGGCTTAAACCAGTCAATAGCCACCTGGGAAGTGGAAGATTGCACAATTGGGTGAATAGGCTAAACAGAACCTGCTCTGCCGAAGCCTAAAAGTCAGCATTTCCTTCCAGTCCTCCTAAAATCATGATAGTTGCATTCCAGAGTGAGTGTGACTGCTGCAGGCTGCTTTAGGGGAGTTTGTGAGAAAGAAGACAGTTATTGTTAAAGAGAAAGAGCATAAACAATCTAAAATAAAAAGTTCAACGACTGCTGCTTAATCCCTCCTTTCTCTTTCAAAATTAACTGGATTCTTATACTGGATAATTTGGTATCATTTCACGTGGGACAGTACCTATTTAGAGTGATTCCCAAGGAAGATGAGAATCCACAATAGAGAGTACAAGAAACTCTGGGTTTAACAGAAAAAAAAAAAAAAATTTAGTTCTATGAATTCCAAAAGGTGAATTGTTGGTGGTCTTTTGAGCAGATCTGACAGGTAATACTTGGTCCGATTAATGTCTTGTCTTCAAGACACAAAAAGATACTTTTCATGCTTTTATCTGCCAAAATAAAGCATTAAAGATATTGGAACAGTAAAAACTCTCAGAACCACTCACATTTGTTAAATGAAGCTAAAAGAATTGGTCTTCCAGAGTTTGCTACTAAAGATTAATAATAAGCACAATGGGTTGGCTTACTTTTCAACTAGTGGTGAAAAAAAGCAATTACCATAAGTCTTCCTTTATTACATTTCCCAGAACATCTGACACAATCAGGACCCCTCCCTCTTTCACTCCCATCCAGAATTAATACCTTTCCAAAATAAACAAATTACCTAAGTTTCCCCCAGTGCTCAGACTACACCCCCAAAACAAAATAACCAACTGTCACCCCAAAAACCAAGGAGCATTACAAACATGTTACAAGGATAAGCACATTTACAGTCACATACAAACAGAATTTTTTATATATTATTTGTCTCAAGACAAGCTTCACATGAGTCATGGAGGTAGAATAAGAGAGACACGGATAATTTATAGTCAAAGTAGCCAGTTAGTCAGGACTGGCTATGGCCAAGTGCAGACAAAAAAAGTACTTTTTGCCATTTTCTCTGCCCCCCAGCCCATACAGCCCACCACTCAACACCCCCCCCAAAAAACAAACAAACAAACACACACCAAACAAACCACCATATCCCCACAAAAAACAAAAAAAACAAAAACAAAAAAAAAAAAACCCAAAAAACAAACAAACAAACACACACCAAACAAACCACCATATCCCCACAAAAAACAAAAAAAACAAAAACAAAAAAAAAAAATAAATCACAGAATGGTAGGAGTTGGAAGGGACCTCTGGAGATCATCTAGTCCAACTCTCCACTTGCTAAATCAGGTTCACCTAGAGCAGGTTGTACAGGAGCACATCCAGGTGGGTTTTGAGTATCACTAGAAAAGGAGACTCCAGAAGACTCTACAACCTGTCTGGGCAGACAGTTCCCATGCTCCATCACCCTCACAGTAAAGAAGTGTTTCCTGATGTTGAGGTGGAACTTTCTGTGTTCCAGTTTGTGCCTGTTGCCCCTGGTCCTGTTGCAAGGCAACCCTGAAAACAGTCTAGTCTCATCCTCTTGACAAGCATTGATAAGGTCCCCTTTCAGTCTTCTGCAGGCTAAACAGCCCCAGGTCTCAGTCTTTCCTCACAAGAGAGATGCTCTAGTCCCCTAATCATCTACATAGCCCTCCGTTGGATGGTCTCCAGTATTACTCTGTCTCTCTTGAACTGGGGAGCCCAGAGCTGGACACAGTACTCCAGATGTGGCCTCACCAAGGCAGAGCAGAGTGGGAGGAGAACCTCACTTGACCTGCTGGCCACACTGCTCTTAACACATCCAAAGATAACATTAGCCTTCTTGTCCACAGGAGCACACTGGTGGCTCATGGTTACCTTGCTAAAACACCACTGATGCTGTTTTTAACAGGAAAAACACTCCCAGAAGACAGTAATATGCCAGTGATAAGACTCCATTATGCACTTAAGTGTGCTAACATCCCCATGTAACAGATTTGGGAGAAAAGGTCATGTGAGCAGCCAGGGAAACCCAAGTGATATCCAAAATGTGTAATGTTATACATGCTTCACCTCTCCGTTCCCCAATCAAAAAATAGAGAATAATGTTTTCTTTACCAAAGTTGTGGAAGGGATACCAACATAAGAGCCATCTAAACAAAGCTAAGCAACAGCACCTGTTGTAATTTAGTTTCCCATTTCTTCCTGTTGTATTTCATCCAGAATTCTCTTGAGAGCTTAGTCCTGCTATGTCAGGAATTCAGAGGAAAACACATTCATTTTAATGCATCTTTTGTTAATACAGTAAATACTGTTAAGCCCTCACTCACTGACATGTTATAAGGAAGCAGATGTTTATGTAGGGAACAACTCTTGAGCACTGAAAGTGTTCCTAATGCTGCAACTGCAGCTGGACTTGTGAGACTTCCTGGGCTTGTATGAGTGAACAGGAGACTTCCTAGCACTCAGGAGATCTCACCTTCTATGTCATTCTCAGAACTGGTCTCACTGAAGCTTTTCCATCGCTCCTTAGCTCTTGACAAGAAGATTTCATAAAGTTCTGCGAGAAAGTAAAACAAAATCAACAACAAAAAAGGAAGAGATAAGTAAGAAAAGCACCAATCAAAACAAAAGCACAATGAGAATTCTTGGCTTTGGTTTTGGTGCTTAGCCACTACAGGCAGAGGGAGAATCTATTAGATGGTACCATAGATTTTTATTTTTGTGAATAGGTTAGGACACTTCCAGATCATTAAAATCATTAGTTATAAAATAAAACAATTCCCTTTTCCACCCCCATAAGAGAGCAAAGCTAAAAATTCTCAGTTTTAAACATAAAAAAGTTGGGGAATTTAGCCACCTAATTTGGGAATTACCCACCTTAAATTTTACAAGTCTAAAATGTTTTTGTAAGCAGTCTTTGCACATTGTTTTCATAATTTACCAGGCCATGATGTCTAATTGTAAAAACCACCTGTCTGGAAGGTTTTGAAATATAGTCCTTCAAAAAGCAAACGTACACCAATATATATATACGTTTTTAACAAAAGTTTAAATTTTTCTTTCAAAATAACCAACTTAATTTTGCATTGAAGTGTGATATGTTGAGGCATACCAGGAGTGATATTTAATTCATTTCCCACAGCTAGACTCCAAACCTTCCCACGTACACTTGGGGGTAACCCCTGCCACCACAGTTCTCGAACTCTTCGGGTAGCACGCCTAAGATAGGGAAGGGGGGTTGGGAGGGAAGAAAGAAAAAAAGGCATGTATTGCACATTTTGTTTTCTAAAAATCATTGGGCAACTTACAAGCAAAATAACATACTATTTCCCAAATCAATATTCAAGAATCTCTGCTCATGCTAAAGCCCTATTAAAAAAAAAAAAACACATTCATCAAAACAAAAACAACACAAGCCACCAAACAAAACAAAACAAAACCATTAGGCTCCCAGAAAGCACATTTCCTGTTGCTCTGTAATGACCTCTCACTACATCCCGGCAACAAAGACTGACTTCTTGACAAAATGGAAAGGAAAATAAGGTGTGTGCTCCTCTGTTTCCAGAGGAGAAAGAAGCCAGCCTTGCCTCATTTCCCCAAGAGAGCTTTACTTACATGCCTTCCCAGTTAGGTAGTATTTCATTGACCCAAATCACCATAGCACTAGCGATATTCTCCTCTTGCTTGAAACGCTCTCTCATTATTTTTTTCCTTTTATGTGCTTCTTTAATTTCTGTTAGGCAAAGACGTTAATAATTTGGTTTTAGAGTGTATAAATTATTAGGGAAATAATTCAACTAGTCTCTAATTATTTAGATGTCTGAAAGATATCAAGGGTAAGTTATAGTTGCACATGAGCTAGCTGGCACTATTTCTGCTGATTTTAAGTGTATTTCTGACCAATTCTTTAATTTTAAGCTGTCTAAGTTATTTAAACACACAGCAATTTAGACAAGCAAAAAACCTGGCTAGAAAAATCACAGCATTCTTTTCTGCAGTACACAGAATGACTAAAAAGCAAGTACAACACCAGCACTGGTTTTTCTGTAATGAATTTCAATCCACCTTTTAATCTAAACCTTACTTGTTACTTACAATAATCATCAATAATTACAGGTAAAATTATTATTCAAAACTGCAATTTTACAGCCATTTAAAAATTAATCAAATCTAATTAATCAAAAAGAAGCATTCTATATTTTCTTTCCCAGAACGATAACCTAAAAATCTGAGCCAAAGCCACAATGCTGAACAAGAAAAGCATATTCTGCCTTCTAAAAAAAGGATCATTTGTAGATCCTTCTTATAAAAAAGGCTAAAAGAAGAGCAGAGCAGTGCTGCCTTGACACCACTAAGAATCACCCTGAAATTGTGGGACATGTTCTATTTACGCATGCACTAAACACATCAACAGAGTAAATGTGCCATCCTTGGTAAACTGATATGGCTGACCAGCTCCATTAAGGTTTTACTAAAGCTTTCTGTACGTAGCAATTGTTAATTTAATGAATACTAGGGCAGATATACTAAAACACTACACATGGCTGACCCTCCAAAGATGCAATTAGAGAACACAATCCACAGATTATACCTTACAAGATGCATACCACAACAGTGAAATGAGTTGTCAAATGCCTTGGGTTTCTTATTATATCTTTCAGAATTAAGCTGTCAGATTCATAGAGGCTCTATCAGTTCAGGAGCTTATATTTCTGGCAACAGCCCAAGTAAAACATGCAGCACAGATTCTTAAAATAGCTTATTCCCTGAATACTAGGCACGAGACTACAGAAGACCTTTCAACAGCTATTCATAGACTGGCACAGTACAAGATGCTACAGATATCTTTAAATTAAAAAACAGATCAAGTGAGATCAAGAAGGTTCACACAGGTACAGCTGCTTGAGGGGAAAAAAAAAAAAAAAGCAAAACAAAGTTTTCATCTGTCTTCACATTGAAATTGACCTCCAATTCCCCAAAAAACCAGATCTTTAAGTAGTTAGCTTTATTATACTTTGGCTCTCAGGGGCAACATAGCTTGAAAAAAAAGAGTTTAAGTACAGAGAAAGTTTCCACATTACACAAGTAGTTTAAAATAAAACAAAACATCACATTAAGTTTCTACTTCAAAATTAATAAAAAGGTTAAACTGACTTCTGAACCTAGTTATGTTCACTGTGGTGGAATAAGAAAATAATTTGATAAGTGAGTTCCATTTTAAACTGCGTGCACATATGTACCAGAAAATCACCTAGATATTAGACTAGGTTGTTCTTCACTATACACTACACAAGCCAGAAATTATTTTATTTTTGCTGCACAGTTAAGAAGAGCTATAGTGAGTACGGGCAGTTAACATACCTCGTTTTTTTGCCTCTGCTACCATCTCATCATATTCTTGTCGGTGACGTAAAGCCTCCTCCACTGATTTGGCAGGAAGATTTCTGAAAACAAGTTGTTCCTGAATTCAATACATACCAATGACATTCTGAACCATTTCAGAGCAAGTTTTAATTTGGCTCCTCCCTAAGGTGAGCTTTGGGTTCGTTCCACTACCAGTGTTTCAGTAACAGCAGTAGAAAAACTACCAGATGTACACTGCTTCCATTCATTAGTTCTCCTGTAGCTTCCACCCAAGCAGGATTATTAGATTTGTTGAACATCTGGAATGACGCTCAAATGAAGTTTGCATGAAGTGACAAAGGGGAAATACCAGTATTCCATATAGTTATTTATTCCAATGCATTTCTGCATGAGCACAGTTCCAACCCAAACGATTCCATGAATACCTGCATACTGATACTGTTTGTTCACAGGAAATCTATGATGGCATTTTCAATAAAAGGTAAAGGTTTTTTATTCATTACAGTTAGTTCTGTAAAACTCCCACAAGAGGAGATCGGTTTACCCAAGGAAGAAAGGATAGATCCCCATTTATGTCAGAGCTAAAGCAGCTTGCTGCAGTGCTACAAGTTCACCTGCCTAAAATGTGTTTGGCTTTGGGCTGCATATTAATCCCCTGGTTACCAAACACACACTTCCTTCTGACCAAGCAGACTCATTCAAAAACGTATCAGAACACATCGTTTGGTCTCAAGTTTCTACCCAATTTCTAGTCTACTTTGGTTCAAAATAAACGGAAGACATTTTGTCACTTAAAGACAAAAAAAAAAAGCAAGAGCAGATGTGATGGTTTAACACTGGAGACAACAGAATATATATTCAAGGATGAGATTGTGGCAACACATAACAGGCTTGGGATGGCACTCCAATTTGAAACAAGTGGAAGTGCCATTCGCAAAGACTTATGTTAATTTGTGAACTGTGACATTTTGGAAGTACGCAAAAGCACCATCAAAACACTATGTATCTTACTGTCCACTATACAGCAAAAGAAATAAAGCATTTACCAAACTAAGTCATAGCAATCTATACCTCCATTCAGGATCTTTCAGTCTTACCACCAAACGAGCTTATATACCACTAGAGAGAATATCGCAGTAAACACTATGTTCTCTTTTCCATTTCCAAATTAGAACTGATTAGAGCAAACATTTTCCAGTGCCATCACAAGTCTTCTCAAAGTGCAATTTGAAAGCTTGGCTCCATTAGCTTTCCTCCAGCACACCCTCCTAGTATGCAGGTTCTCCTCTTTCCTTCAAATTGCTGACGACTGTATAGCTGAAAACACTGACCCATTTATTACCCATTTTTCATTGCTATTCTTATTTGTACTTAATGCAGCTTTTGTTGCATCTTCATCTGCCATTTCCTTGCCTTCCTTCAGCTGTTGTTTTAAGGAGCCATGAAAACATAACTGAAACCATTAAAGTGAACACTTAACATCTTGGTACCAATGAAGCACTTGCAGTTGCCAGATACAAAATGAGCATTCAGCACTTGTGACAGGAAGGTATTTCTTGTGTTTCAGAGGCTGTTCTTCCCACTCCTGCTGTTACCCAACTAATACTTTTTTTTTCTTGTTTAGAAAAACTCTTCCAGTAAGCCAAGCCCAGGTTTGCTGAAGTTACAATTGCCACTGTGAAGTCTTCCCAGCTGGTCTAGGAGACTAATTATGCAGAATGGGAGAAGGAGACGGGAGTGCACACTGAGATAGCAGTGAAGAAATCCAGAGAAGTCTTCAGGAATTTTCCTGATTAAGGGTGCCCACAACACTGTCATAGGCAGCTGTGATATATAGTTGATAACAGACTGGTAGCCCCATTACAGCAAGAAAGAATTCCTGGAGGTATTCCGCACAGAATGTTAAAGGTTGTAAGGGACCTCTGGAGATCGAGTCCAACCCCCCTGCCAGAGCAGGACCATCTAGTCTAGAGCAGGTCACACAGGAACACATCCAGACGGGTCTTAAAAGTCTCCAAGGCAGGAGACTCCAACAACCTCCCTGGGGACCCTGTTCCAGTGCTCTGTAATCTCTTATTTGTTAGGCTATTATCTGAGATGGAATTATCCAATGATACTTTCATGAAAGACTTGTGAAATTTAGCTCATCAGAAGCATACCTAACAGACTCAGTTATCACCAGTTCCACAGCACATTCATACTTACGCTGGTCGATCCTCCAGAATCAAAGCAGTAGTTGAAAGTGGTTCAAATGCAATGTTTTTACGTCTTGTTGAGGGGGGTGGAGGTTTATACATTCTTCCTGTCCGTGCTTCATATTCCTAAACAACATTATTGATAATTAAATTACAACTTTCAGCCTCATATCTAGTTAGTAAGCATATTACTTGTTTAACACTTACTAAATAATCTTAAAATATATAATGTTAAATAATTTAATACAGCAAGGAACTAACATTACAAGCTGAAATTTTGTATAGCAAGACAGCAAAGCTTTCCAGGACTCCTAAGTAACAATGACAAAGAAAACAGTTTATTGTGGCAACTTAATCTTTGATCTAGTCTAATTCAATATTACTACAAATCAAAAAAAGCCACCACCACAGATGACTAACCAAGAATGTGTCTCTTCCCATTTCTTTCCTTTTGATTCTAGCCACCTTAACATCCAGTACTCCTCAGGTTTCTGAAGCCTTTAGCAAAACCAAACCAAGATTACCCAGAATTGCCTACACTATACTCAGTGACAACATAATATTTAACATCAGAAGTCTATTTCACATAATTTCCTTCTCAGAGGTTAAAACATGCAATCTACTTATAAATATTTAACAGCCTCTAATACACAGAAAATTCCGAGAAAGCAAGTATTCTTTTTCCCACAAGAGCAACTCAACAAAGCAGAAATATAAGATGGTCTTTAGAAAAAAAGGCCAGAGCCAGATGAAAACCTCAAATCACACATACATTCTTTTTTAGCCTTCATAAATACAAATTTACTGCCAATTACTGGGCAACCCGCTCTTACAATCCAGTAAATCTTCAAATGTTATCTGTGAGAAAACTTTCAATTTATTCCCAAATCAAGTTATCTTGTGGGTTCACGCTTTCCTTAGGCATGAAGGCTAAATACTAGTTTATAAGTCTTCCACATGCTGGAATTCAAACAGAATATTAAGAGCTGAAAAATCATTTTTTTAAGAGAACAAATTCAAGGTATTTTAATAACGTACTTTTCATGGATCACAGCTCTATTCTTACGCACAGTGAGCTCTAACTTGTACAAGCTTTTTTAAAATCTAAAGACAGTTTGTTCTTTCACTTTTCTTGCTTTAATAATTGTGTACATAAATTCAGTCTCATACTAAACAAAATACCTTAAGTCACCAAAAATAAAAAATTGATCAATTACTGATTAGGTAATTTATCTTCCCAATCAAACATAGGTCTTCCCTAGGAAGTGCTCCCAAATGAATCTCACCTAATACATAGGTCCTTTTACACACCTCCCAGAGAGAAACAGTGTGCTGTACACATTCAGTGTTCATTGACAGCATTATAAAAACAGAGCTGACAACTTCAAAGCTATCATGTTCACTACACAGTTGAAGTCCACACAGCTAAATGGAAAAAGACCCCTCTCAAACATGACAATGCAACCTCAGATTTCCAGAAAATACAAAGTATGTGCCTGACACTAAGGTGTCTTAAAGCTTTCTGCTCAACAGTCTCCTTACTCTACCCGTTTTAATGTTCTCCAACAAAATTTTTGTTCTTTCACATTGGGCATAATACATTAACAAATCCAAAAAGTATATCCTTAGTGATGTCATGCTGTTCTCAAGAGAAAGTTATGACAGAGTCATTGAGGTTGGAAGGTACCTCTGGAGACCACCTAGTCCAGCCTCCCTGCTCAAAGCAAGGTTAACTACAGCAGGTTGGAGAGGGCCTTGTTCTGTCAGCTTTTTAATATCGCCAAGGATGGCGACTCCACTTTTGCTAGGAATGGTATTCCTAAGCAGTTTTCCATTTAAGTGCTAACCAGGCCCAATCTCTTATCTTCAAAGTTCAGAGAAGATAAAATGTGTTCACAGTGGTAAGGCCACACGCATTATATGCCACTATACTTCTCAGATTCTGAAGTTATTTGATTTCTTGTCCTTTTCTTTTTCTAATTTGTGGAAGAAAAATACAAGAAGGAGACTGCACCTCCACAAAACAAGCCAACAAATGGTTTTGAAACAGTCTTAGTATCTTCTGAAGTGTTTCCACCCACCTCAACCCCCACCAAAGTCTTCATCCATCCTTCCACCCTTTAAATACTGTATCATGCAGCACACCAAATAACTCATTTTGTTAGCACCCTGGAAAGACAAGCACAAATCTATAGCTACAACCCTGCTGTTTCAACTAGAGATTATCTGTTGTTTTTCTGTCTTCAAGAAAAGACCAAATATGCATCTTTTAAAGAAAAAGAGCAACTGCTTGCTATCATCATTTAAATATATATTCACACTAAAAAGATGATTCTTTGTAAACACAATGACATAAAAGTTGCTGGCCAACTGTTCTTAAATACAACTTAGTTCTAAATGTTTATGTCTCTGGCCAAGAACAGAGGTTTATACAAATTTCCTAGAACATACTCCTCTCCTGAAGGGTAATTCCCAAGACAACTTTTGATTGAAAATAATACTCATCCAATATGATTTGGCACATGCAGACAAGTATCTTCAACAACTGGACATACAGAATTCTGTAGAATATAGTAGTTCTGTTGTAATTCACACAAGCACAAGAAAAATCTGAAATCCAGCATTCACTGTATAAAATAATATACATGTTCTTAAGCCTAAATTGTTTAATTCCACCTAAACCCAGAGACATTACAGGCACTCCTACCATGCTTTATAACTCAGGTTACCCCAGCACATTATTCAGTTAGGGATGTATTCTGTGCTAGCACCCAGAGGTCAGCTGCACTACAGCAGCAATTCCACCCCTCACTCTCAGTAGGAGCTCTGGTTTTCATTCACATTACCCAGCACTTTGTAAAAGGAGACACAAAATGAAGTTCATTGAGTTATCAGAGATGAGGAAGCCCAAAGAGTACCAACCTTTTCAACATTCCTACATACCTAATTTGTATGAAAATGAAAAAAAAAAAAAACAAACAACCAGCACTGCAAGATAGATACTAGAAATTCAGCCACTCTCACCTCTTCACTACAGGCAACACATCTGAATAGTGCTAGTGCTTCTGGCTATTGTACATGCTAAGAACTGATCTACTATGTCCAAAATGACAGAGGAATGAAAAAAGTCTACAACAGGGATTTCCACAAAAGGCAGAACTCATTACCCAAATGTGTTTCTGGGAGCACACTCTTTGAACAGCTGGGTTTTGCAAGAAAAGAACACATGAACAGAGGAAAAACTGTATGTGTTACTAGAAGGAGTCAAAGCAGAGACCAAAATAGCTTCAGGCTCAAACTGTCATTGCTGCACAAAGATGAAACATATTCCAAAGTATCAGAAAATCCCAATGGAAGATGCTTCTTCCTCAAGAAGACTGTGCTCTAGAGAACTTATCTGAAGATTAGATGCCAAAACCATCAGGCATGCATGGAACTCCTTAGTTTGTGCAACTAAAAATATTTTTTCTGCAATATTTTGTATGACTAGACATAACGAATCCAATAGCCTTAACCATGCATTTGATGCAGCATCTGAAATTCTTGGCAAGGGATAAAAAGCTTGAGCTGGCACAAAATTTCACTTCAAAAGATGTGAGCCAATGCTTAACATAACAAGGTAAAAATACAATTTAAAGTCAAATGTCTTATCAAATACTTAACATGTAGGACATATACCCAAGGATAGAAGAGCTGGCAGCTAAGATTCAAGACTATGTAAGACCTGTTTATGGAATAAAAAAAAGAAAAAAAGAAATTCACACCACACTGTAAGTGTCCCATGTATGGTTTTGGTGGCTCAGAGAACGTTGTTAAAAAAAGTCTTTATTGCAGCATATCTGGCATTTATTGAAAGTTACGGAACATTTTGCAATCCCAAAACACAGAAAAACAAATGTCAGTTTTAATAGAAAGAAAGAACAATTATGTCCTTATTAAGGCTGGAACTGCATCCTCTCACCTACTACCAATAATTAACCTGTTAACAGGCTAAAAGTCTGGGTTTCCTGATAAAAACTGTGGCAATATATTTAAAAGCACTTTGATACGTGGAGAGACTTGATGTCTAGCATTTCTACAGAAGTGCAGGTAAGCCTATTATCCTACAGACAGGTAAATGGGGCTGGACAAAGTCTTTTGCTTATAAACTGCCTTTGTGCTTAAAGAAGATAAAGATATCCCAAATAGCATCATCTTAGCATCATCTTAAAAATGAAACAAAACAAACCCATCCCACCAAACAACAGCCCCCCCAATAAAAACCTAAGCACGACCCAAAAAGTCCCTTGGTGTTTTAAAAAGAAGAAAAATAATAAACCTGCAGAGGTTTTTACTGCCTGCACCTTTTTGAAATCTACATGGAAAACCTAGAACAGTGAAGTTTCTTTTGTCCTTCCTGAGAAGAACTGTACCGGAGATCTAGACCATTCAGAGTTATTTTAGATATCTCCAAATGCTACTGGATTGCACTGTGTAGAATCATAGAATCGCTGTGGTTGGAAAGGACCTCTAGTATCAAGTCCAACCTTCCTCCCAACATCTCCCTAACCACTAGACCATAGCCACAAGTGCCACATCCACTCATTTTTTGAAC